ATCAACGTATATTATGATCAATGTGTAATGACTGTTGCATGTACCTCCATTACATATAAAAAAAAGTATCCGTGTTCTATTGAGTTTAAAAAAAATTTTACGCCTCATGATGTGGAAGTTTGACCGTGCGAAACGATCCAGATGAGCAGAAATGTCAGGCAAAGGAAATGACAAATTAACCGATTGCAACGCCTCTGCGTCCTTTTCTATTCCACGATGTGTTTTCAAACATCGGTTATTCAAACATTTTTTTCTGTCTAGCATCTTTTATATATAAATTTATGTTTCATACGTTTGGATGAGATATTTATATATTTACGCGATAGAGATCTATGTAACTGTTGCTATGATGGACTTCAAAAGAAATAGAATTATCTATTAGAGTATTAAAACGAAGGTTTCCCTGAATGGAGAAATGACGTAATTTCCTTTTCCACTTAATGACACTAATGTCCGTCGAAATTCCTTTCTTCGGGCTCGTTAAAATTACTACACCTCCTACGATGTATCAGTGCAGCGAGCGTGTCTTCCTTACTCATAAAGATCACCTTTTGTAGTGTTATTAGAGCATTACGTTCGCGTCCTTCACGCTTACGAATGGCATTCTTGTCCCTCGTCATTTCGATCTCATAGAAAACGTCTATTAGCGCGATCCTATTCTACAAACACACAGTGCCTTTGTACGCGGCCAACAACGTGCTTACGGTTCTCAATCATCGTCTTGAATAAGAACTGGTTCAGCGGTTGTCTAACGGAATTTGTTTACGCGGTAAGACGCGTAATTTGTCATTTTATGTCATCGTTGTCTAACATCGACGCTGCATACATTTTTTCCTCAACATCGCCTCCTACAATCGACTCTACGTTTTCGCAAGGATCGCATAATTTATAATCTGCGACGATTAATTAATTTTAACGGTCTTACCTCTTAATTTAATTCGAAAGATTAAAAAATCGCGTAATTTTACGTTTCATTGTTCTTATCGTCCGCTCGGCTATATCGGTGTAATATGTGCACGAGCTCCACAATGCAGAGCCGATGAACCCCTCGGGCGCATTACTCGGTTAGCGATTTAACCGCCGCACTGCTAATCACTCATTCGGTTAACCGCTCCAGCCGCGGCTACAAACGGGGACGCGCGCGGAATTTCGATCGTAAACACGCGCGCGCTCATTCGCGCTGGTTTGTTCATTCGCACAGGGGAACGTACGCGGAAGAGCCGAGTTAGGAAGCTGCGGAAGTAGCCCCGCATTCGCCAGAATGTTCGGCATTCTAATGAGGAAAGCGGCGTTTACCAGCGCCGCCTTATGTTTCGTTCATTGCGTACGCAGCGTTGATTGTTGCTATTGCATTGCCGTGCGTGGGTGATAAGTCGCGTGCCTTTCTATCTTTGAGCTCAAAGAGCTTAAACGGATTAACGATCGCTCTGGGTAAAAACATGTACTAAGTGAAACAAGGCTACGTGAGATTCCTATCGTATTATCTACTAAAAAAAATTAAAAATAAAAAACACTAAAATAAAAAGAGGCGAGAAGACAGTTTCATAGATCCAATGAGATAAAAATAATGTATTAAAATAGTTGTATTTTCGCGACTTTTGTTTTATTATTATTATTACATTATAAACAATCGCATAAAGATAAAAAGTCCTACGTCTGTTCACAAATATCTCCTATATGGAAAGATTAATTTTACTGAAGTATCTAAAAATTTAGCTAGGTACAAATCTAAAAATTATTTTCTTGAAATGTAAAAATAATTATGCTCAAGTTGATTGCTAGACTTTTTGCATTGCTCATCACGTTTGAATTTCCTACATAATCCAATGTTGATCCAAAATTGTTTTCAGATTTGTATCTAGCTAAGTTTTTAAATACTTTAGCAAAATCTTCTTTAGAGTCATTGTGCACAGGACACCATACTCGTTTCTCGTCTATGCCGAAAGACGTTATTGCGGAATTCCTTTCATCGAATTACTCTTCCAATTACAACGCAATTACTTGCGCGAATAACAGTACGGACCTAATAAATGCAAGTCAATAAGCCGGCAGCTAGTATTGCCTGTGCATGGATCTGAATGGGCGTTATGCTTCACAATAATGCTGAATTACTATCTCAGCCTGACCACGTGATTAACATCGCGGAGGCCCGCAGTAACAATTAGAGAAACCTCGAAGAGATCTGCCGGTTTAGGTCGACGACAAACAAGGTGCGAGAAAGAGAGACAGAGAAAGAGAGAGAAAGAAAGGAGGGGGGGGGGGAGTAAGAGGAAGCCCCGATTACGTCGCAGCGCGATATTTCACGTCACTTCCGGGTAGGTTATGAGATGCTATTTGGTAGAAGAGAGACGCGCGCGGACGAGAAGAGCGGCACCCACCGAGAATTAATTTGAATTGGATTACCATGAATATTGTCGGCGCTCGGCGAGAGCAGACGCGTTCCCATCGCAAACTAAACGCTTCGAAAAGTCCGCACTCTTTGGCGCCAGCTATCAATTTGTGAACACTCGTGAAAAATTAAATTTTTGGTCAAGACGGAATTTATTTATAGCACGGCACTGTATGTGTTATATAAATATTTCTTTTTGGCACATATAAATTAATCTTGATGATTTTTGAACATCAACATCAGATTTTAATAATTGAATCACGAAATATTAGCATACATATTTCTTTTTCGTTTTTCAAGTTTAACAAAATTCTTAAAGGAAACATTCAAGAAGCACATAGCACTAGTTCAATTTGCGTCATAATAAAAAAAAAATACATTTTTCCATCAAGAGAAAAAGTTTGATGATTAAAATTTTAGAAACTGATCCGCTTTACAGTATCTGTACGTTCTATCAAATAAAAATGAAATAATGTCCATTGAACTGATTGAATTGATTCTGAAGACACTCCAGGAATTCGATGAATTCTTGAAAAGATACTTTTAGACAGCACCAAGTGCGGTGCGTTCTTTTGACGCGAACTTCCTATCATTAGTACCGGACAATACTCCTCAGGTCCGCAAGTAGGACTAAGGAATTCGATAGTCCCGCGGCTATTTTTAACAAATGCAACTTTTCGCGGCTATATTTTTACGTGGCTTCCGCTTCTGCGAAAAGCGCCGTGAATTATCCCGGAAAGACTTACCGCAATACGGGTATCATTGTCGCCATGGCTTCGAAATCTATTGTGCACGAATTCAAAAGTTCGCCAATTTGCGTCTTGGTCTTCGAAAACTTGGAAGGTATACAATGCTTCGAGATATAGTATTTTAAGTGATTGCTGATAAATTTAAAACGTCTTTTTTTCGTCGATAATTTTATCTTGTATAGGTATCATCCTACATCTTCTTTCTCATCTCTCCTAACCACACATTGATAATGACGACGGTGATGATAATGAATTGCACGAAGGAGCAGGGAAAAATCTCAGCAGCGCTTCGTCGTATTTAATTACTTATATGTGTAGTTAACTTCGCACGCTTTCGCATCTCCGCAATAATGCAACGCAGGGACGACCAAACAGCATCTGACAGTTTATGAAAATCAGGAAATCGTGAGCGACGGCTAGAAATAATATCGCGCCGTGTGACGGCGACAAATACAATGCAAAGTCTCTCAAAACTATTGCTTACGTCACGATCAAATTTTACTAGATATTTTTCTTACAAAGTTTCTAACAAAAAAGTTTCTTTTTTTTTTTTTTAAAGAAACATTGATTTAATTTTAGTAACAAATTTGGTAGAAAAATGAAATAATTATAAACGTAAATTTAATCGTATTGAGATAGAGAGAAAGAGAGAGAGAGAGAGAGAGAGAGAGAGAGAGAGAGAAGGGGAGGCGAAGGGAGAGGAAGATAATTGTTTTTCGGAATAATTGAGTGGAAAATTATAAATAGAAGACGGAAGAAAAATTTCAGAAATTGCAAAATCTGGAAGACGATGATTAAAAAAGATTGTTGAATAATTGAGTGCGCGTCTCTAGAAAAAAAGACACCAAACATCCTAGCAATTTCCTCTCGCGGCCTTGCGAACGCCCTCTCGTTCTTCACTCTATCTTCATCTAATCACTTTTGCTTTCGTCAACGCTCCGCCGCGGGCTAAACGACAGGCGTTGATGGAGCTCAGCGTTGGTGAGGAGAAAGAAACGTGATAGGTCTGAAGGACCTAGCAGCGCTAAAAAAAGGAATAGGAAAAAGAGAGATAGAGAGAAGTGGAAGGGACCGAATCCCTATTCGGCAAACAGAGTGAGAAGGCAAAGATAGAGCGAGGGTAGAAGGGTTCCTACACCCTGCGGCGATTGCAAAGTTTTGCGGAAATGCACCCTTACGAGGAATTTCTTGAAGAGCCCTTGGATCGTCGCGGCGCCACGGGAATTGCATAAAATAAGGAAATGGGAGATGCCTTTATTGTGATTGATACGAGGGCACAGTCTTGATTCGATGCGAGTTCGTATCGACGAATTAAAAATATAAAAAGATCGTCTTTCCGCTATTTAGTGCATTAAACGACAGCGAGCTGGTTCTCGAATATAGCCACGATTCAATCGAGTCTCCTCGCAAGAAATATATACAAAAGTCTCGCCGGGCGACTCGTTAAAGTAAAATTCTTGTACGCGAGGGTTATCTCCCTTCACGACATTCTGCGGAATGTCTTTTAAGGGCACGAGTGACAAAGGGCTGCGAACGATGAAACGTCTCGAGAGAGGCTGTAAACTTAAAGCCCGTAACAATGATGCCCGCATATGTCTATGTACAAGGGTTTATGTACAGAGTGACCATGTTTTTTTTCTTCGAGTAAAAATTGTCTATTTGTCAGCGAATGAAGTTTTCAAGAAAATATGTGAAATTAAAATGATTATAATTTGAATTCTTTGCTAACTTTGTTTGAACAGAGCATATTTTTGTCTATACATATATATTTTACATACGTATGAATATGCGATGTTTGCCCTTGGCTATGTAGAAACGGATGTGGCATGCATTGAAAACTGAGTTAATTAAATGAATCTTACGTAACAATGGACGATGGACAGTAGCTCGAAGCCAACAAAGTGTTAATCATGACCCCGATTGTGCACTTCTTGATAAAAATGCGAATTGTGTCCCATTTTGTTGCGAATCTGAAACATAGATATAAATAAGTTAGTTTGATTCGTTCAAAGCGCAAATATTAAACCGCAATATATATATATATTTTTTTCATATACATATATTGGAACAAAATTTGTGCCAATACAAATTTCAAAATTCAAGCAGCCGGCAACTTCGTTAAAAATGAATGAAATTTAAATTTAAAAAATTTTAAAATTAAAAATCTTTACTTTCAAAAAATCACTACATCTTTTGAGTTTCTGTGAGTTTGGTAATTTTTACATGCAGAAAATTGCGAGTTAAACAAAATGCAAAAATTTTTTTCTCGTTTTGTGGGCTTGTCATGTGTATACAAAAAAAAACTTGGGGAAATTTTCGACTTTCTAAAGCTTAAAAAAAAAATGTTTTTAAGATTTTTTGTTACTGAATTATCACGGATTAAATAAAGGCAGTATTTTCATATTTATATCTAGCTAAATTTTAGATACTTTAGAAAGATTATTTCTTCCGTTTACGTTTAATTTTCTTATCATAAATAAGTTCGATTTGTTATAGTCTGTTAGTTTACAAAATACTTATATTTTTGCTCTTTGAAATATGTACTGTAACATGTTTCACTATTATAAAAATTAGTAATTATACGATGTATCTTTGACATTCTTAGGTTCTTCTGGTTAAAAATTAAAGATTCTTAGATTGTCAGTTTTGATCTGGAGTTTTTCAGCACGAAAGCTTAATAAATATATTTTTCGGAAGTTCGTCGTGCAATATATCAACTTTACAGTCACTATGGACATTATTGTCCTTATACATCACCCGTAATTATGTTGTTAAACTTTGTGCTATCGTGTCCATAGCATGCCTTGTATCACTAACGCGCTTATCGAAAGTTCGGCCACTAACTATGAGGTTCGTTAACGAAATTTATCCAGTCTTGCGATGAATTGACAACAGAACTCATTGTAAAATCTAATATAAAATTGCAAACCACAATTACGACATGAACGACTACCATGCGATATTTGCGGAGGACAAATGTTCACGAGCACGTTAGAATCGAGTTGGAAAAACAAACTACACAATTTTTCACTTGAGTATGATATAACCAACACGTGTATGAGTATTTATGAAATCTTTTTACGTTATGTAACATGATTAAAGCACGTTTAGAAGCTAAAGTTGCAGTTTCATTTATTACGCTAGCGACGCAAATAATTTTGGCTTTGTGAGCAAAGCGAGTAGTTTATTGAAAGACATCGTTGAAGATAAAATAACCTGTGTGATTAAATAACGAGTGAGGTCTCTGCCTAAAGTCCTACCAATTTATCCGTTCAACTTTCTAGTTTGACAATATATTTAAAAAAAAAAAATTAACAAAGATGTTTTAGGACTCACAGATCAAGTAACAATAATGTTTGTATTCGTCGAACAATCTAAATAAACAGAGTTCAAAGTTTTGATATTTCCTTTGTTTAGTTCACGATTGTTGTTAGCGAGAAATAAAATTTTCAGAAAAAAGGCAAACCGTTCTTTTATCCAATTAAGAGAAGAAATGAGAATCTAGAATATATAATATATATATATTTTTAGACTTATAATTTTATATTAAATTTTACAATTTTTTTTTTAAAACAGCTTTCTCTCTAATTTTAAATATTAAATTACATATTATAAAAAAAATATGTAAAATTACATAAATAATTGTATTGTATAATATGTAAAAATTACATTTTAT